GACCCTAATTTAGAGAACTACCTACAAGCCTTGAAGTCAAAAATCTGAATCGCCCTAATATAGGGGCCTTAATAATTAGAATAGGTTTTGGGGTATGCTATGCTATAAATATAGCAAGGAACCCCCAAAAATAGAAAAGGTAATTCCTAAGGCCCCTATATTAAGCACCCTAAACCCTAAACCCTAAACCCTAAGCCCTAAGTTTCGGGGACAACCGCGCCTCACGCGGGCGCACCGGGACCCTTGATCTCGTGCGCACCATGGGCGAAGGTGCAACTCTCGCCCTTCCTGGTTAGAGTTTTAGAGCTTAGGGTTTAGAGGTTTAGGGTTTAGGGAGTTTAGGGTTTAGGGTTTAGAGGTTTAGGGTTTAGGGAGTTTAGGGTTTAGAGTTTAGAGGCTTAGGGTTTAGGGGTTTAGGGCTTTTAGGGTTTAGGGTTTAGGGTTTAGGGTTTAGGGGTTTATGGTCTAGGGTTTAGGGTCCGAGCTTTGGGTTTTTGGGGGCTTTGAGCTTCAAGGCTGTGTAGGGCTTATAGGGCTGTACAGACTCAGGGCTTAGTTTAGGGTTTTATGGGCCGGGGTGTTGCGGGTTTTGGGGGGTTTGGCCATCTACGGGCTGAAGTCTTTTGGGGCTTTAAGCTTTCTGCTTCTTTGGTAGGAGTAACTCTCTGCAAGGGACATGGAGCAACTTACAGTTATTTGGGTTTTGAAGAAGATAGGTTTTCTGGGTAGGGTGGGGGTTGGTGATATAAACTAGCTACTGACTAGCTCTTACACCCCCAGCTTCCAAGCTCCCTTGAGGGTACAACTTCCAAGCTCCCTTGAGGGTACACCCTAAACCCTCCACTCTAGAGATCATCAGTTGAGAGCTTCGCGGTACTCCGACAAGCGCCGCAAGCCCCGAAAACCCACAAGCGTAGGCCTTTCGGCCCAGGCCCTTCATTCAGCCCAAGACAGGATCCCGAACCATAGCCAAGTCCCCTGAATAATCTTCTTTTGGGCCAAGGGGTTTAGGGTTTAGGGTTTGTCTTCTTTTGGGCCAAGGGGTTTAGGGTTTAGGGTTTGTCTTCTTTTGGGCCAAGCTTCGTGCAGAGACCCTGCAGGAAGAAGTTGCCTGAATGGCCACTTCTCAGGCTTCATATTTCGGGCTTGAGGGTTCAGGTGTTGCGAGACCATGGGGTCCACGTTTGACAGCTGGCACCCAGACACCCAGTCTCCGGCTGAGCCAAGCCCTGCTTGAACTGGGGAGGAAAAAGTCCATCGAAATCTGTAAGCCCGGAATCCCAAACCCCATGTGCTCTTCTTGAGTGTTTAAGTTTAGATGGTCAGCTCTTCCACAGGCACTTCAAACATGTCTTCGCTCCACATCAAAACCTAAAGTCTGAATCCTGAACCCTCAGCCCACAAAAGGCAGATTTGCAAGGGCCTCAGTAATCCGAACAAAGGGTGCCGAGACAGCTTACACCCCACGCACCTCTGTGAACTGTGTTGTGGACGCATACAATCGGCACACGCATTTATGCTCCTATACGAAATCTTGCAAGCTCTTCTCTTGCACGCCGCTATAATCTATTAGCAACAGGATGTGTGTAATAATTCCTTCTTGTTATGTGTGTGTGTGTATGTGTTTAACTTCTTCTGGTGTTTCATATTTAGGACAAAAACTTCTCAAAGACTAGCCATGAAGCCCGACCACGGCTCGGTCTAGCAGTCTTGCAGTACCTATACCAAGGGTGGACCGTTTGCAAGCTCGAAACCGGAATCCCCAAAAAAAGTCCAAACCGAGCCCCGAAAACGCTTCTTCTGGTGGTTTGGGCTTTAAGATATAAAAATACTTAGGAAGAGCTGGCGGCCGGGAGGCACATCACCGTCTTGTACTTCGCAGGGTTCGGCGTGGAGCCCATGCCCAAGGCCATCATGCCTCTTCAGAGACTGGGAGGTCCCTCTAAACCCCAAACCATGTTACATCAAACCGTATGAAGGGAACCCGCGTAGTCCATAAATCGTCCTTTTAAGGAACCCTATCAAACCGTATGAAGGGAACCCCCGTAGTCCATAAATCGTCCTTTTGAGGAACGCCCCTTGTGGACTAAGGATGCCTAAGGTAGGCTCTCTGCAGGTTGCTTCATTCAAGGGCTTTTCAGGGCTGCCTGCGAATCCACGGACGCGGGCGGTTCCTTTAAGGGCGACTTTCACGGTTCCCTTAAGGAGTTTAGGGTTTAGGGTTTTGGGGGGGTTCCATCAAGGGTGCTATAGGCTGTTGGGTCTAAGGAGTTTCGGAGAGGTGGGGGCTTCAAGACACAGGATCCTTTTGTACAACTGGCTTTGGGTTTAGGGTTTGGGGTTTAGGGTTTAGGGGGTTCAGGGTGTTGGGGCGGACATAAAAGCAAAACAAAACAAGGACAGAAGGGGAACACTACTAGTAATTAGGGTTTCGGGTTTAGGGTGGACAGAGGCGGAATTATTCAACCCGAATTCTAAACCCGAAGCACCGAGTCCCCTAACCCCAAATACGAAACCCCGAACCTCAAATCCTGAAGCCAAACTGCATCACCAGATCTCCGACCCTGGCCCTCACCATCCCTTTCCTGTCCCCCCAGCCCCCACGATCTCCCTTCCAGGACAAATCTGTGAAACGTTTAGGGTTCAGGCTTTCGTGGAGTGGGCCCCTCACCCGTGCCTCCCTTCCCTGCGCCGGCGCCCTTGCCGGGGCCTGCGGCGAGTTGGTTTCACATGTTGCGGTGTTTTGGGTGTGGGGCTCGGTCTTGACGCCCTTAGGATTCAGTGTCCCGTTTTCGGCCCCAGTAGCTTCAAGCCCTCTACACTTGAGGTATATTGATTAGTGCTACTGTTGATGATATAAATCCTACATGACCTTAAGGACCCTAAACTATGGGAATTATGGTATACGGTATATACCTTATCATGGGTGATGCAGGATTTATATCATCAACCGTATGGGCTACGGGGGCAATCCTGATACCTTACAGGGCCCTACAGTTCCGGGCTCAGGTGGCTCAAGACCTGTGGGTCTTAGAAGGCTAGTTGCCCATACCGCTCTGGGCTCAACACTTCCTGCTTCCCAGACCGCCGGGAGGATCCAAAAAGTAGATCCCTTTACAGGGGGTTCCTATAAAGAGCCTTTAGTAGTATAGAGTCCCAAATTAGGGATCCTCCGACCGAGGCTCAGGACAAGTTTGGCCGAAGGATTGTTTTGGGGCCCACTCAGGTTTGAGGTAACAGGTAAAGGTTCAAGTCGAGGTCTAGGGGTAATGTAGGGACCTGAATGATGAGAATTTGTGTATTGCATTGGGGTTCCTTACTCTAGATATAGTACAATATATACCCCCAAACCCTATTCTGATTATTAAGGCCCCTATATGGGGGTTTCCGAAAATAGGGGACCCTTTAAATCGTAGGATCCTTAAAATAAGGACCCCAAAAGACGGTACCCTAATTTTCGGAAAGTCCTATATCATGTCGCGCGGAGGTCTCGGAACCGATCTCCCAGCAGCCCTAGACCCCAAGCCCTCAGCCCTAACCCCCAAGCCCTCAGCCCTAAACCCCAAGCCCTCAGCCCTAAACCCTAAGCCCTACGCCCTTCACATCAGAACCTGTGGGAGGTGAGGCGGTTGATTGGCTACTGCCCGCAGTTCGATGCCCTGATCGGCCCTCCAGCCATGTGTTGGGGAAGCTTTGATGTTCAGAGGGGTTTAGGTCAAAAGGCTCCGAGTTTAGGGTTTAGGGTTTAGGGATGAAGGTAGGTGGGGTAATCCCCAAAATAAGAGGTCTTATAGAAGGGATCCTTAATCCTACCCACCTCCACCCCACCTTGTGAGGCCCCCAATTAGGGTTTAGGGGAAGCTTCAGTGGAAGCTCTTCTCTGCCTGTTGGGCAAGGTGAAACTAAGCGGTAACAGGTTCCGCTTTGAGTGCCCTTACTCCAAGCAAGTAAGGCCCACTTTGCAAGAGGGCTCGCGCAGCTCAGTTGAGTAGTTGTCAGAAGGGCGAAGAGCAGTGAGGACTTCGTAAGGCCAAAACGCTGAGCCCTAAACCCCGAAAGTCCTGCTAGGCCACCAAGTTTCATCCTTTTGTTTCTGGTATCCGAAAAAGCCTTACAACAACCTGATGGACTCGTTGCAAAAACCCGCGAAGACCCCAGACCCTTCAAAACCCTTCAAAAGGCGCTCATACCGTTTGTATGCCCGACGAGGCCCCAAACAAAACCCAAATCCTACACACCGAAATCCTGTAAATCCGCACGTGTCATACACAGCCCACAAAACCCTAACCCTAACACCGTTTACAACTCCATAAAGGGCTAGAAGCTAAACCTTACCACCCCAGCAAGCCTTTAACAACAGCTTAAATTAACCAGCAGAATGTCAAGTCCGCCGTAAAGCCTAAATTAGTTGCACAGTTTGACATAGTGAAAGAAACGAACGTCACTAGACAGCCTCAGCGCAGCGGCCCTAAACCCTCAAGCCCTAAAGCTTCACAACCCACACCACAGACCCTACAACCCTAAATCCGTAAATCTAAACCCTGAAAGCCTCAACCCCCCACCAAAATCCCTAAAACCATAACATCTCTAAAGCCCTAAACCCCTGGAGACCAAAGTCCTAAGCCCTAAACCCTGAACCCTAAACCCCAAACGTTAACCTTAAGAGCAGGGACGCTCACCCTAGACCCTGAACCCTAGAGCCTTCAATGCCTAAGCCTTAAATCCCTAATCCCCTACAACCCTAACCCCCTACAACCCTAAATCCCTAAACCGCTAACTCCCTAAACCCTAAACCCCTAACTCCCTAAACCCTAAAGCCACTACGACCCTAAGTCTGAAGAGCAGGGATGCTCACCCTAGACCCTAAACCCTAAAGCCACTACATCCCTAATCCCTAACTCCCTAAACCCTAAGCCCTAAACCCCTAAACCTTTTTTAGGGTTTAGGGCGTCGGGACCCCAGGGTTTAGGGCCACTACGACCCTAAGTCTTAAGACGCAGGGACGCTCACCGCTCGGGAGCATCTCACGCTCTTCGCCCGAATCAAGGGCTTTCCCGAGCCGGAGCTGCCAAATTACGCAGCTCGGATCTTGAAAGCTTCGGAGGGCTTAGGGCTGATAAGGGTTTATAGGGTTTGGGTTTAAGGGTTGGGGTTGAGGGTTTAGGGTTTAGGGTTTAGGGTTTAGGTTTCGGGTTTAGGGTTAGTTAGTGTGTTTTAGGGTGTAGGGTTGAGGGCTTACGCAGCTCGGGTCTTGAAAGCTTCGGAGGGCTTAGGGCTGATAAGGGTTTATAGGGTTTGGGTTTAAGGGTTGGGGTTGAGGGTTTAGGGTTTAGGGTTTAGGGTCTAGGTTTAGGGTTTAGGGTTAGTTAG